GCTTGTACGTCTGGCCAGCGGCGCTGACCGTGAACGGGCGTTCCTCGATCCCTTTCGGCATCATGCACATGATTTCCTTCTTTAGCTCCGATACCATCAGTCCGAACAGGCCGGCCACGCGCACGATGACCGACATCATCTTCTCGAGACTCTCCGGCTAGGCCGCGTCGTCAGCGGAGAGCGTGGCCCACAGGGCCTCCGCGTCCGTCACCACCGTCGTCTTCTTACCCGCTGACCTGCCCTTCTTGCCCGTGTACTCTNATCTAGATGTGTATAAGAGACAGTCCCACAGCAGATCTCGGTCCACCGAATCGTACGCCTTGGTGAGATCGACGAAGCACGCGAAGACCGCAGTACTCTTCTTCCTCGCGAGCTCATGGAGCCGCTGGATGGCGAACAGCATGTCGAGCGTCGACCGGTGTGGGCGGAAACCGCTCTGCTCCCCCGGGACAATGCCCTCTCGCTCGCAGTAGTGGCTCAGTCGTGTAGCGACGACCTTAGTGTGACCCTTGGATGGTTGTAGTTGTACGAAAAAAACACTGAAAAGTGTAGAACCCTACATACATACGCTGAAGGGTGTAGTACACGTCTCACCACGAAAAATGGAGGGGCTGTCGCCATAACAAATAGGATGAAAAGACACACAACAAAACACACAGGACTCTAGAATATCTGTCGTTGATTTCTTTTGACTTGCGGACCCCTTGGGGCCATTTTATTTGAGTGTACCTTTTGAGGGTAAGTTAGCCTGCGACCACGGGAATCGACCGCGTCGAGTGTTGGATCAGTACGGACATACATACGAAGGTACTGGGTAGAGAGAAATCGGAACGTTTTTCAGTGTGAAGACAACAACAACAACAACACATACATGTGCAAGGCGGAAAGTGTCTGGAGGTGGGTTTGTTTGTTTGTTTTTCTCCCATCATTGGACTCTGTCGTCTGCCCCTCTTGCCCCTATCCTCCACTTCTACTAGCTAGACGACCCAACCGGGGTCACATAGGAGGGGGGGGTTGGACCCCCTCCTGCGGTTCATGCCTGAGGTATTTTTATCGCGACAAGGGTACAGCAATCCCTTCCCTCGCGAATTACGAAGTCGATTACGGTTTACTAACAAACGAGCTTTGCAGCGCGTCGCTTCCAAAGGAGACCAGGATTTTTTTAGTGAGAACAAAACTCTCTCTGCGGGACTCGAACCCATGATCTGGCCCGAGGTGGGTGTGTCATGCTGGTGCGCCGCACGAACAAAGCATCAGTTAGAACATGATTTCATACGGTGAAACTGGTTTCGACTGAGGAATGATCTTCCGGCATCCGCCACAGCTAGCTGTCGATCAGCAAAAAACAGGCGAGGAAGGGGATGGGCGAGAGGGCATGATATTCAGACGATACAGAGTTGAAGTTTCGGCATGATGTAGCGGCAAAGTGCAGCGTGCAGGAGACCGGTGCGTCATGTTGGAGCGTCGCACCCATAGAACACACCGCCAGAAGATGATTTTACGAAATATGAAATAGGATGGATCATCCAAAAGCAAATAAGGCAGAGTGCAAGATTCGACATCATGTAGAGTTGAGGTTGGCAACGCGAAACGTCACCTTCAATATTCGACATGAACATAGAGTTGAAGTTTCTACACGATGCACACATACATACATATGTGCAAGGCGAAAAGTGCCGGAGGTGGGTGTGTCATGCTGGTGCGCCGCACGAACAAAGCATCATTTAGAACATGATTTCACACGGTGAAACGGGTGGATCCATCCAACGGCACATAGAAAGAGGGCCAATATTGTGCACATGGGAGCGAGCGTACATGCAAACACATGCGCTCGGGCATGATCTACATACCTACATGCACAACATGTGCGACGTGCAGGCAGGTAAAGGTCATCCAAGGACAAAGTCGTATGCTAACATGTGGAACCATACATCGTGACTCACGTGTACCCCCAATCCTGGGAGCCCGTACCCTTCGTGACGTTGTCCGCTTCACGACAATCGAGGCACGTCAGCTTGCGGGCATGGTCGCTCGTGAAATCTTCGGGCTGGCTCTCTATCTCCGCCTCCGCCTTGCGCTTTGCTGCCGTGGAGCGGATGGCCAGCCTGAACGCTTCTTTGTCCGAAGTCGCCGTTATGGTTGAGAGAGGTGATGTGGAGGATATGACGAGAAGGTAGTGGTATATCAGGGCGATGGATAGGAGGTAATGATGGGATGGGGCGGAGCGCGGCTCGCAGCAAGCGGCCCCGATGTTCCCCACGGTCTCACGTACCACTTCTCGATTCGGAGGACTTCCATCAGCCGGGGCTCCGTCCTGTTGAACGATACTTTGGTCTAGTGTGACGACGTGTACAGGACCACTTGGCCACAATCGCCTTGTATTCCTGGTAGAAGAGGTGGATGAGATCTGTCATTTGATACCTCGCAGTACTTATTTAATCACCTATCGGTCGAAAACGACGTCGTGTCGCACAAACTACGGAACCCACACACACGCCGTCGAGGGTCGCCCTGCTGTGTTGCATTTGCGACCAATATGGCGCCAGCGACGCGACGTCTTTCATCCTAACATCCGACGCGCCCGCTTGAATTGCGCGCGACAAGCGTAGAGGCGTACAAGCTCTTTGTTTCAGGAAAACCTAAGTAAAATCGGCGTCCAGCGGAAATTTGTGCACGGTGGTGCTGCACCGGCCGGGGCAGCAAGGAGCTTGATTCAACCAAGTCAAACTTCCCTCATAGGTCACGAATCACGCTGAAAGTTCGTGAGCGCGTCTAAAGCGGCGAAAGAAGAGCGTATGGGTGGCTGGGGCTGTCTTGCGCGAGACAAGCGTACAAGCGTACAAGCTCTTTGTTTCAGGAAAAACACCTAAGTAGAATCGGCGTACAACGGAAATTTGTGCGCGGTGGTGCTGCACCGGCCGGGGCAGCAAGGAGCTTGATCCAACCAAGTCAAACTTCCCTCATAGGTCACGAATCACGCTGAAACTTCGTGAGCGCGTCTATAGCGGCGAAAGAAGAGCGTAAGGGTGGCTGGAGCTGTCGTGCGGAATCGGCTCAAAAAGTGCGTGGTTTGGAGCTACCGAATGAGCTTTGGACTGTTGGATTTTGCCAGTTTCCTACCCGTAGGATGCCCAAATATTTTGTTGGGCTCAGAAGAGGACCCTCCAAAATCCAATCCGGAAAAAATCAATCGGTATGACTCAGCCTTAAAATAAATATTCCCCAATCCACAAACTAAAAACAAATTAGGGCATATTGTAGTATTGTAGCGATGCGAAAATGTGCGGGCAACCGCACATTTGATCGTCGAAACCGCAAGGGGAAACACTAAGCATGGAACGTGTCCCTTGCGAATAGGATGACAACATTTATGGGCAATTTTTTTGCCTTTGAACGTTTCCCTATAAACAGGTTACCGACGGCAAATTGGATACAGGAAGTACCAGCTGGAAGCATGTACTGCTGTAACCCTTGCTCACAAACATTCCAAATCACACGTGTCCGCTGTTGTGGTTGTTGATGGTCGTCTCTGACGCCACACTCCTTAAATGTCAAATCCAGCAAGCGCTGACACGAAATGGCCCATACTACCTTACCTGCGTGGCATCTTACGGAGGCAATATCCCTTGTAAACATCGTACACCCACATATGCCATCGACATATGCATACAGCCCCGGCTGCACCACTTGGGTAAAAAAACGTAAGAGGAGTGAAAATGTTCTCCCGTGCTACCCTGGACGTTGTTTGGATACACATATAAACATACAATACCCCGACAATCGCCTGTTTCGTCATATGTAATCCCACGAGGGTGCCACCGACAGCACACCCGACGAACCAACTACCCAACACCTTCCTTCTGCACCTTCCCAGCATAACATTCAGATAGATACACAAGACGGCTACCAAACTATCTTGTTGAGCCTGTTACCCACAGGAGATATATCGCTGTGTCCTCTCGGGAAACCGTGGAAATACAGGTAGCTCACTCTGACGCTATGAATTCATTGATAATCTATCTTTGACTCTTTTCCTACATGGAGATGGATTCGTTGGGTCCACTTAGAAGAAAATTAATGAAAACAACACAAACCCAATAATTTTTCACGTATGCGCTCCTATCGATAGCGATCGCCAAACAAACTCAAAACTAAACCCTATTGCACTGTGTTCTCTGTTGCTGTTTTTTCTGTGTGTTTTTTTTGTTATGCCGCACAGCAGCATGTACAGCAGTACTTGACTCACTCCACCGAGCGTGTTCAAACACGAAAAACAGGCGGATTTTTGTATGCTTCGCCTCGCCTTGCCCCCGGCACACGGAAACCACGTGAAAAGTTCGCTCCGTTTAATAACGGCACTCTACCTTTTGCACATTTGGTGTGCACGCTGTTGCTGTGTGCCCCCTGGTTGGTGCGCCTTTTCTCGGTGCGTGTTTCTTTTCTGTTGCACGCATGCATCAAGAAGTAACGAACAGCTGTCAGCATGTACCAAAACAAGCACCAGGATGCTAAGATTTAGTACATTGCGTGCCATCGCGTGACATCGCAGCGCTTGCACATGTCTGATGCGCGGGACATTTCTGCTGTAATTCGTGAAAACAATAGTGGAGGAAGTACTGAGGAACGCTGAAACTCGTTGGTGTTTTTCTCCCATGTTTGCATGCCGTCTGTTGTCCCCCGTACCTTGCTCCCCCGTCAAAAACCAACCTCCCCCCCCCCTGCCTCCCACCGCCCATAGCCATCCAATCATTTGAAATCGTCGTCGGCGTGTGCACAAGCCGTCTGTTGAAGATTGCTTTCAGGCCTTCAACAAAGCAGACTGTTCTTACGTGAAGCAGGAGAGAAAAAAATCACAGTTCGAAAAAGCAACGGACACCACGCGCATGCTTCTCTCCGTCGATTGAGACTACGAGCTGCTGAGCAAATCTACTCCGACAGAAAGCACAGAACATAGTACATCGTGGCCGGTCTGGCTTCGATCGGTGTCCTAGGGAGCAAAAAAAAATCGGTTGCGGTGTCCTCCCGTCTCTGGCAAAACGCGGCCCTTGTTGCTGGCTCGTGACGTTTTAGCCCGATTTGGCGTCTGCATGTTTGGTGTGATGCGAATTGACTTTTTTGCGCACGCGTGCTGAGCGACCATCAACCACCAGCATGCAGAATAGCAAACCCTTCACTGTAGAGTTGCTCGGAGCCCTTGATGGGAGCGATACGTCGAGAACTCAGGTCGCACTCGCCGATTGTGTCGACTGGGCTCAGCAGCATTGAGTTTTTGGGACAGATTATCGGGCCGGGCATCGTCCTGGATTCTGCCCAACTTTCTGGGCGGCGGCAACCCAACAAGCTGAACCCGGATTTTGTGGACCCGAGAACGTGACCAATCCGGCTCTATAAGAAGCCTGAACATAGCCCGACCTTGATTTTGGTGTGTTCTGGATTAAGCATTTGGCTCAACAGCCTAACAACGATTATGTACCTCGATAATCACGATATGGGAAATCGTACCAGTACAAAGTAAGCGGAATGAACGGTGCCGTTCCAGGAAATGCAGGTTCAGTACTTGTCGCATAAAATCAACGACACCAGTACAGGCTTCGTGGTGAATGGTTGTTGTCCGAAGCCTCTGCGCAAGACGCAGATGATTCCACACAAGCCGAAGGCGCGGCAGCCAGCAAAATCCTCTCTAACGGTGTACCAAGTCGGTGTGTTCTGTGAAAAATGGGGGACCCAAGGAGAGCAAAATGTACCCGTTATCGGTTTGAGAAAATGGGACCTCTGTTCCGAAAAAAAGTAAGTGCATCCTTCACGCAGGGAACTCCCCGTTCAAAGGGTAACCTTTGAGCTTTAGGTGTCCTTTGCGCGGGGGACCACTGTGTAGTTCGAGGACACCGGCGTAGGGCCAATGCAGAACACACATGGCACAAAGATGCTCAATCGTGAATATTCGCCCATACGGTTGTACTGCTCATGTTGTACCATAGATGAGCGTCGACATCGCGGAGCTTCTCCGCCTGGAGGCAGAGCTGGAGAACTCATGTGAAGATTGCCGAAACCCATACGATCGAGACGCCAAGCTGAATTTGCTCAAGTTTCTTCAAATCAGGGCGGTACTGCAGTACGAAGAAGCGTACGACCGATTGTACTACGAGCTCAACAAGCATGGAGGGCTTGAGTGTCTTCGCGAAATCGCTCCGGCGCGGCTGAAGGACCTTCTCCAGCCCAAAGTCTTGGAGCTTCAGGACTGCAATGAGGACGTTCGATTTGCAGCACAGTTGGAGTTCTATCTTGCGGACGCCGAGCTTGCAAAGAACCGTTTGGACGAGCTCGTGGCAGATATAGCGAAACACACGGGGGAGTGCGAGGTTCACTGCGCGGAGGTCAAGTCACGAGCAAGCACGCAACGAAAGGCCAGCAAGTCATATGGTGGGGACGTTCGAAAGGTTGCTGACATGGCGAGGGTAAGCGTGATCTGTGACAACCCGGAGGCCTTGAAACGGGCGTACTTGGCTATCGTAGAGTCGTTCCAGGTGAGGAGATTTCGCAGTTTGCAAACGACCCGCAATTCTGCAAGTGGTGTCTTACAAGTCCGCCCCGGTTACTTACTGTTTTTTTGTTTTGTTTCTCCCCGGTTACCTACTGGTTTTTTATTTTGGTTCTTGAGCAAACTTCGGTCGGCGTTTGTGAGTCTGCCATTTGGTTTGATCTTAGTGGGTGAAGCACCTGCGGAAAATCGGGAAGGCCCAAATTTCCTTCCTTGTTGATTGGAGTAGCTGTCGCAGACAGTGCTCTGCGTACAGTCCGGCATCGATGGTTATTATGTCAATGTTGTCATATGAAATTTGACAACAAGAAAGGGTCTTCACCTTTTCCCCTCTGCCGAGAGCCAAGCGCCACTTGAAGCCCGGAAACAAATGCGGATGTCTGCAGGATAAGACCAAGTACCAAGGTTTTCAAGTGGAAATTGTGTGCACGTGTGATGGACGTGGTGGTGCGGTTTGTGTTGGTTTCAGATTCAGTGGTGGACATAAGACGTAGCGTCAGGGTTGATGGTTGTAGAGTACAGGTCGGTGTGCGTCCCTGGGCCGTTGGTCTGGTAAGAATGGGTATGATGGCACCAAAAAGCGCGAGCATGACACTCATCGAAATGCACTTGGTGAGAAAAGAAAACATCGACAATAAATTCCCGAACGCATACTTTCGGGCATACATTGGTCATCATAAGGAAGCTCACGGCCAACGATATTCCTAGCAGCTCTTGATGCTGTCACGTATGAGTATTGTGGAACGAAAGCGCGGTACCAATCGTCAACATTTACTTGCTATATAGAAGTACATAATATACATGTACATAAAAGATTTGGACATTTTTTGTGCTTGGGCATTTCTTTCTCTCGCGGCAGCGAGTCTTTTCTCCTGCTCCATTCTCAGGGGCGCGCAGGAGGCTCCTCGGTACATCACCGCGCACGCCCGGAACTAGGAAGGTACCCGTGGCACGCGTGGTTGACGCCCAAAGTCGCGAAAACTGGCTCTATACCCCGGGAACGCGTTCCGCGAAGACGCAGCCTGGCGAACCAATGCTCGAACCCATAAAAGAACGACAGAGTAAGAATGGCCCGCACATGTCATCCCGATGTCCAGCAGCACCTTTCCCTTTGCTCGTCTACGCTTTGCAGCGGGCACAGCGATACAGTGCTCTGCAGTAGGCAAGTCTGAGCGCATGCACCAACAGTAATGTTGATCATATTGTTTATTTTCTCGCTTATGCCTTTCTTTTTGGTGTTGTTTCGGATTTCAAAGTATTCCGGTTATCATCATCAATCACTGGAAATCTGTATTTCGCCGGCAAGTTGTCCGCTCGAGCTGGCTCCAAAATACGTGCGTGCGCGATGATTTGCACAGAACACGAGCGCTGACGTTGCCCTTTCAGAAGAACACACAAGCCTTCTCTAGCATCTCATGTTGCGTCACCCGCCAGAGGCTCGACACCCACGCCCCGAAGGGAGACCTTGAAAAAGTATATATTTTATATGTATGATGTGTGATCCCGCCCGCCTCAAATTCCTTTCATCCTGCGTGGCCTTGAATTGCCCAGAAAGTACGTGCCCCTGATGTGTTGGATTACAGGAACAGATGGCGCGGCTGACTCGTTTCGGCCACCATCTTGAAAATATTCATACATACAGGGAGACGTTCTTCGGGTGGCAAACGGCTTCAACTCCGACTGGATGCCAAGCGGTTATCGGGACGTGAAAGTAAATCCCGTCGTCGACGAGCACCTTTGCGAGATTCAGCTGCACCTCCGTGAGTTCTTCACACTGAAAGGCGGTCAACACGCCGTGTACGAGTGGGCGCGGGACCTCAAAGTGACCACGATAATGCGCGCCGAAAACCTGTTCGAGTTTCTATCCCGTGAGATTACGGAGGAGATGATCGGCTTGGCTGAACGGAACTGGCATGGGACCGGGCGCTTCCTTCCGCGTCTGCAGCTCGCTGCTGGGCAGTACGACCAGGCCGAGGAGGGTTTTAGACAGGTTTGCTTTGGATCAGTAGCCCCATATGTGTGTATAGGTTCTTGAACGTGTGACTCATAAGAGACCCCGTGCGCGTGGTGGTCGAGTAGATCATGTTGTGCGGGGTCGAGAACCCTCGCTCCGCGCAAGGGGGATGATCGCACCACGTTGGCCAAGCACCCTCGAGGCAGTTTCAGAGTGCTTACAACTGTCTCTGGAAGTGAAAGCACCAGAAAATAAATTAAGTCATACGCAGCTGTCATCCGTACGCAAGGAAGTAAGCACAAGATGCCGAACACCCTTAGCAGGATGCAGCGCACCCTTCATGCGACTCGCCGAATATCTCACGGCGCTTCGCGCTTGGTGATGTGAGAGCCTGGTCCGGTGAGAACCCGGCGTGCTCCGTCCCGGCTTTGTAGGGATGCGAGGTCAATGGTCTAACGACTACGGCATGCACGACTATGAGTACACGCCCCCCCCCGCCCCCCGTGCGCGTGATGTTTTAAAGCAACTTTCTGAGGCCGACGACATCAAATGGGGTGAGGAGGACAATGACAGCGCCGAATCGAGAGAGGCATCGCCGGATGTGATTGGGGCTGTGGCAAGCCTCGGCTCTGTCTTGTGTGAACAGGTAGGGCGCAAGCAGTTTGATCACTAAAACAGCCTCGGGATTCACCGAGAATGGTCGCTCGACAGCGTTACCGGGGGCCGGTCAGGGGGGGGCATACAAGTAGCTCACATGCTTTATCCTGTATACAAACGATAACACGATATCGACCTTCCGCATGCCTAGTCCCGGTATGGAGCATGGTATCAGCAGAGGGCACCATGGAGAGGTGACGCCTATGTTGGCGCGCTCAGATCTGCTGTGGGGCTATGATATCGGGAGCCACATCAGTAGCGCAAAACCTCCGCATTCTTAACTGAGAGGAAAAGCTTGTCGCAGCTGAACCCGTCGCCACGACCTTCTATCTCCTGAACCGCGGGTCTCCGGCAGTAGCCAGTGGTGTACGCTACCCGCAATTCAGCACCTTGGGGTCCGTGGTGGCGACTGTAGCAGTGGCAGTCAGCGGGTGTCGGTTCAGATTGCGGAGCTTCCATGCCGCCGCTGCGCTGTTCGATGTCCAAGCCCCAGCAGAAGCAACGAGCGTGCTGCAGAGTGTTCTCTACTGAAATATTATTAAGTCAGGTCGGGGGTCCTCCTATGCCCCACCATATTTGAAAATATTTGAAAAGGCTACGTATCGTCTTGGCCTAGAGGCCGAGAAATTCATTTCTGGCTTCGCTACAACGTGTAATAGCAGGGGTTGAGACTTGAGTTTCGAGACAGCAACATCGATTCTTTGTAACAACGGGCATGTTTTTCTCCATCGCTGGTCGCAGCGTCAATCGAATTCACTATTTGCGTAGGAAAGTTCAGGTGTGGGAGTTGAGCACCAAAGGGAAGGCATCATGTCCATATCAAGGCCAAAGGATATTCGAGAGCGAGGTACTGGATTCAATGCATCACGTGGCAGTTCACCACGCGCTGGCAGTTGGCACATGTACCTTTCGACTACAGTGAGCTCTACGGGCCTTGACCGAATTTATCTTTCACAATTTCGCCTCCTCGTTGCGGCCAGTATGAAGAGACAGACCCCTGAACATGCGAGACCGGGAAACATTATTGTCATTTTCGGTGACAGTCGTTCAGGCAATGCATCACAGAGTAGTTCTCGCGTGTGGTTGCAGAGCCTGTGTTCCTCAGCAAACAGCGCGACTCGCCTTTTCCGCACTTTCAGGTGCGATTTTTTGAACTGTTCAGATCCAGCGTGAGGAGAACGTCTCTATCTATCCAAAGTCATAATACTGCAGAGGTTGTCCCTGATTATCCGCGCGTGGTCTTATGCCTCAACAACAGGGCGCAGTTGTAGCGCACTTATTTCTCTGCACTTTTGCAAAAGTCTTGGCCAATTTCCAGTCGCTCTACATTTTTGTACCATTCTAAGGCAGACACGAGGAGGCTGGACCGTTGCCTGAACGTTCCCAAACCATTCGCAACGAAGCTCTTGGACTTGATCACCCTGGCGTGGTCTCACCGGGCGTGGTAGCTGACAGTGTGTTGCCCGGCAGTTCGATCGAGATCCAACCTCAACTGCAATACGCCTCTGCCGCGCTGTCCCTCTGCACTTCAGGGCAAGTACGCTGAGGCTGAGACTCTCTATGTGCGGTGTCAGCTGATAGAAGAGAAGCATCTAGGCCCCGAACACCCAAGCCTGGCCTCGACACTGCACAACCTGGCGGGTTTGTTGAGTAGCCAGGTGAGGTCCGTCAAAGCCGTTTACGAAACGGGAGGAAAATATGGCTCACAGTGTTATGGTGCGGTTGGCTGCCCCAAGCATGACACTCTGCAATGTGGGGGTTAATTTCACGCATGTGGCTGTCATACGCATCGCGTAGAGTAGGCACTTCTCGTTTTTAACTCGCAGAGAGACGGCCAGAAGCCTCTCACGCCGTTTGATTGCATTACTTGTATACATGTAGTTCTTGCTGGACCGCAACCTGGAGCGACCTTGCTGCCTCCTGCACGTGTTTGAAACGACGGGGCGGATTCGCTATATGTTCGAGCTTTTTATGATTGGGGACAGTACTCCCAGCCCGATATGCGGAAGCTTCGTCGACAGCCACTTTGTTTTTATCCGCCGCGGGATCTACCATCGTGTACCATGACATGGTCCCGGTTCCTGCTCCCCCTCACACCACAGGGCAAATACGAGAAGGCACGAGCGTTGCACCAACGTTCCCTTGCCATCTTCGAGAAAGCTCTCGGACCTGACCACCCTGACGTGGCCACGTCGCTGAACTCCCTGGCGGGCTCGTTGCAGAGCCAGGTGAGAGCAGTCAAAGTCGTTCAAGACACCAAAGGCACAAGCCCATGTCATGTTTTTTGCTGCCCTTACCGTCATGAGTTAAGGTGGTGGGCACGCATATGGCTCACGTATCATCCCATAGAGGATGCACATCCTGTGATCTCCCTCTCGGTTGTATTGAATTCGTAGCCAGAGATGTCCAGGGGCTTGTCTGGACCGCCATTTGTTTCGGTTGGTTCAAGCACTGCTCGTCACAACCAGCGTATTGGCTGATAGCACGTTCCCCTGCAGTTCGATGTAGATCCGATTTCGACTGAAACACGCCTCTGCCGCGCTGTCCCACTGCATTTCAGGGGAAATACGCTGAAGCTGAACCACTCTACGCGCGGTGTCAGGCGATACAAGAGAGGGTTCTAGGCCCTGAGCATCCAGGTCTAACCGCAGTGCTCCAAAACCGGGCAGGTTTCTTGGAAATTCAGGTGGAACCATCGTATATTTAATCATTTGCTTCAGGGTTTTGATAGTTGGTGGACCTGGCGAGCACCCTCTGCTGATATTTACTCACAGGGCAATGTCGCCGCTCTCCACCTTCGAGGTTGACCCTCCGTACCTTCGACTTGCCCATATGCCGGGTCATGACTTGCTCAAGCTCCGGCGATCATGTTGAGGGTCTGTAGCCTTCTACTAGGGATTTGGGAAATGCGTCGCACGGACTCGTACCTGCCAGTGGTCTATCTGCCATGCTTCACATTGAGCGAGTGCCGCCGAACGACCTTGATTTTGTTGTGCATGGCGCGCTGGGTGCGGCGGTACCCTATTTTTGATGCATAGATTGCGGCGTGGACCCATCTCCATCAACGCACCGATGGCGCAGACTCTTTCAGCAGCTCTCTCAAGAAAGGTTTAGATGTCTGAAACAAGTGTTCGACCTGCTGCTGTTGTTGGCGTGTGAAGGAGCTGGCGTCTGGGTACTTATATATATAAAGTAAATAGAAGAGAGACCATCGATCAACTGTGATCAACGGCACTACTCTAATCGGAGGCACCCAAGGGAACCTGTGTCCCCGGGTCAATGTGGGTGTGTCATATTGCTGGAAAACAGCTCGAGTGAGTGAGGAATTTCGCCTTCTCGAGGTTACACACCTGGCTTGTGGCAGAACCACACCACCACCCCATGCTCAAGACCATGGTCTACACATGCACACACACAAAATCACGACCATCCCCTAGTGTCCCACTTGGTGCTACTTGGTGCTCCTGCCAGTGACAATACCTCGTTGTTGTGTGGTATTTCTCTCTCCTCTCTCTCAGCCCGGGGACGCTGATAGCGTATCCCTTTGGAGAGAGTTTGTGGGCTATATTTGGCGGTTGGTCGCCTTTGACGCCCGCCACCACACTCCTCTCTTTAGCGCTTGGATGATACACAGAGCCACGATGTTGCGCTACTTTTCGCGCATCCGTAGAAGCTGATACATCGCTCTTTCGTTCCCTGTCTCTTGTATTATCTGTTTCCGTGTGAAAATTTGGGCCGATAAACTTACTTGGCATGTCGATTTTGCCCTTGTCACGCATATCCGGAGACTGTCGATAATATATGCTTCGTGCACGGTATTCATTTTTCGGCAAAATATGAAAACAAGTCTCGCTTCGCTTGCTCGACTCTTGGAGTTTCCGATATTGCACGACCTTGAGCGTTCGTCCCTCCGCAGAAAGACCTATCGTCCTCAACGTAACCTACTGACACTTTTCCCTTCACTTTCCAGGGCAAGTATGAGGAGGCCGAGCGGTTGTGCAAACGTGCCCTTGCCATCAGCGAGAAAGCTCTCGGACCTGACCACCCTGACGTGGCCTCATCGCAACACACCTTGGCGGGCTTGTTGCAGAGCCAGGTGACGGCAGTCAAAGTCGTCCACAGTGGTTGGTATGTCTGACGTACAGTTGTGTGACCAACCCCTAGCATGGCGAGCTTCGAGGGTGGGGTTTCAGGTAGGTATCTGACATACGTATCATCGCCTGAAGGAGGCACTTCTGGTGATTTCCCTCTTCCGTTGTTTGAAATTGATACACGAACATGTGTAGGGATCTTCTCAGAGCCGCCTTTTTCGTTGAACTGGTTTAGTTGGTTTTGGTCGACCACCGACGCACGACATCCGACCGAAATACGCCTCTGCCGCGCTGTTGCACCGCACCTCAGGGCAAATACACTGAAGCTGGGCCGCTCTATGCGCGATGTCAGGCGATACAAGAGGCAGTTCTAGGCCCCGATCACCCACGCCTGGCCACAACGCTCGGTAACTGGGCAGCATTGTTGTACGAACAGGTATCGAACAACGACACTTTTCTCCCTTAGAACCATTCGTGTAGATTTAAGCGCTTGTTCGGGTTGGTTAGCAGACCGCTGGCTCATATCCTGCCGCTTTCTACACACATAACCGTAACGAAGATTTCGATCGTAATTCGGTGGAAGTGTAAGGTATTGGGCCCTGACCGCCCCGGTTGACCGCTACTCCTGAAACGTTGTTCAGCGCTTGTTCCTCCGCGGTAGGATGTTCCGACTTTCGCCATGACGTCATCCCGTCTTCCCGTCACGTTCCAGGGCAAGCCTGAAGAGGCCGGGGCGTTGTTTAACCGTTCCCTTGCCATCCGCGAGAAGGCTCTTGGACCTGATCACCCTGACGTGGCTACATCGCTCAACAACCTGTCATGCTTGTTAGAGAGCCAGGTAAGAGCGGTGGAAGTTGTCCACGAGTCGGGAGATTTTTATGGCTCTCCCTGTGATGAGATGATTTGGCTGCCCCAAGCAATACAAACACCCTGAATGTGGTGGTTTGGCACGCGTCTCGCGTCGTATCATCGCCTGAAGGAAGCACTTCGAGGTGGGTTCTTTATTTATTATCTTGAACTCGGAGACAGACGTTTCCAGGAGCCTCTTAGCGCCGTTATGTGATTGCGTTACTTGGAAAGTTCTAGCTGGGCCGGTCCCTCAAAAGCCTCTGCTGCGTGCTACACGTGTTTTGTACGAAGCGGCGGATCCGCTGTACCTTCGAGTCTCTCAAGATCGGGAAGAAAACTCTTGAACCCGACTTGCAGGAAGTTCGGCAAACTTGTCGATCATGTGTTTCACCGCCGTGGGATCTACCGTCCTGTATCATGACACGTCCCCGTCTCTCCCTCACATTTCAGGGCAAGTATGGGCAGGCCGGACCGTTGTACGAACGTTCCCTTGCCATCCGCGAGAAAGCTGTTGGACCTGATCATCCCGACGTGGCCGCAACGCTCATCAACCTGGCGGAATCGTTTCAGAGAGAGGTGAGGGCGGTCAAAATCGTTCACGAAACCGAGCGGTATGTATGACCCTCACTCTGGTGAGGGGGTTAACTGCTTCAAGCACGACACTCTTTGCACTGCAATCATCTGGCTTACCTTTGATGGCTTGAATGAAGCACCTTCAGTGATTTCTCTCTTCATCACTTTGAATTCGTAGACAGGCTTTCAGCGACGCCCTCAAAAGACGCTGCTGCTTGGGAGGCTTCGTCAGCATTGTTGGTCTGGTTCTTATCCGCCTGGGACCTCAAAAAATCAATCCCGTCTCTCCCC